ATTTTGCTAATAATTAAATAAAGCAACTATGTATCTATTTGGGAAAATAAATTAACAAACTTGTTACGTTTTTTTCTGGACGCGATCATTACTTGTAAACAACTGATGTCGCCGCTTGAGGAATCGTGCAGCTAAAATCAGCTGATTGTACGTGCTGACGTTTACTTAATAATAGCTCTTCAAAATTCCTATTCATTTTGTAATAATAAATATATATTATGCATATGTAATAATATGTAGATTAATAGATTTTTTGATTTCCATTTTTCAACATCCTTGCCAATGATGCACGACACAAATGTGCCACGCCCACTTCACATTGGCGCGCCCTGTTTAATTTTCAAACCGTGGAGAACCCTGGACATACTCAGAAACCTGTGTACAGTGACCACCCAGTGTACTGTGTACACATACAAACCTGTGTACAGTGACCACTCAATGTACTGTATAGACATACTCACAAACCTGTGTACAGTGACCACTCAATGTACTGTATAGACATACTCACAAGCCTGTGTACAGTGACTACCCAGTGTACTGTGTCGACATACAAACCTGTGTACAGTGACCACTCAATGTACTATATAGACACTCACAAACCTGTGTACAGTGACCACCCAGTGTACTGTGTCGACATACAAACCTGTGTACAGTGACCACCCAGTGTACTATATAGACATACTCACAAACCTGTGTACAGTGACCACCCAGTGTTCTGTGTCGACATACAAATCTGTGTACAGTGACCACCCAATGTACTATAGACATACTCACAAACCTGTGTACAGTGACCACCCAGTGTACTGTGTACACGTACAAACCTGTGTACAGTGACCACCCAATGTACTATATAGACACATACAAACCTGTGTAGTGACCACCCAATGTACTATATAGACATACTCACAAATCTGTGTACAGTGACCACCCAATGTACTATAGACATACTCACAAACCTGTGTACAGTGACCACTCAGTGTACTGTGTACACGTACAAACCTGTGTACAGTGACCACCCAATGTACTACATGTATATAGACACATACAAACCTGTGTAGTGACCACCCAATGTACTATATAGACACATACAAACCTGTGTAGTGACAACTTAATGTACTGTATAACATACTCACAAACCTGTGTACAGTGATCACCCAATGTACTATATAGACATACTCACAAACCAGTGTACAGTGACCACCCAATGTACTGTATAGACATACAAACCTGTGTACAGTGACCACCCAGTGTACTGTATAGACATACAAACCTGTGTACAGTGACCACCCATGTACTATATAAGACACTCACAAACCTGTGTAGTGACCACCCAATGTACTATATAAACATACTTACAAA